TCTTTCCCTTCCCTAACAGTAGGGAGTGACAAAGAAAATATTGCCTAGGGCTGAAAGAGAATTTATAACCCTCAGGTTATGGATTCTAAACAACAAGTATGTACCACACACTGTATTTTTCTACCATTCTGACAAAGTTTTCAAGCTACTTCTAATTTATCAGAGTGCAGCTGGCATATATTCAGTAAGGTCGGGCGGACAGCTGACAAACCTGTACTGAAGTCAAGAATAATATTTGCTTTGGAAGATGCAAATGAGTACAGCAAACCTTGCATAAAACTCATGTGACATAACAGCTAACACTGCCTATCAGGGATGACAATGTGAAATTGGACAAGTTACTTTGCCTTTCATTACTCCTTAGTACAAAGTGCAAACATGGCCGGAGTGAAAGTGGGTCACTGCGAACTTGTCCATGTGTAGTAAATATTCTGTCACTTTTGTTGATTAGAGCCCAAACGTTCAAATGCTAAAAAAACAGCCCCCCCCCTTTTATAATGCTGTTGCTAAAAGGCCAGGAAATGTGAAGACCATGTAGGTGGTTGTCACTGCTGTGGTGACTGCAGGCAGAATACAAATTGAGACATGAAAACAGAGTGGCTAGTCAAATTATTTTGCATTCAATTTGAATTTAAGTCAACATTTTACTTGTGGTCCCCGAGAGTTCTACATTAGGAAATAAGTGTTAAAAAAAGAAAAGATAAATCATTCATCTTTTTATCAAAGTCATTGGATTTCTGTACATTATCTATTTGCTCTTTGTGGATTAAGGGCGTACTACAGGCTATGTTCTGCACTGTACTACATATGATAAAACTTTCAGAATCATTTTTAAAATTAAAATAGTGTTTACAGTCTGAAGAAAGTGAATCATACAGAAAGCATAAAACTGCTGTGTACTTTTGTTTTTCTGAAGAGAGGAAGTTTAGCCCCATTGTCTTGCTATACAAATCCTTCCTTTTTGCTCTAAGGGGATGGTTTAAAGAGAAACCGTCAATATGTTAGCAAAATTGGGTTGATAGCATGGAATTAATGTTCCTAAGTGAATACTGTAATGCACTGACTCACTATACTGATCCTATAAGTCATTATCTCCTTTTTGATGAAATCCTTCCCAAGAATGGAACCGAAAAGATCTAGCAATACCGTCCTTGAATTGTGTTCT